ACCAAGTGTATACCATTTTATCTTGTTATTACTTAAATCTTTATTATCTACATAGTTCATGATCATATAACCTATATCATCTTCTTATCTAATCACATGAATTAGATATATTTATAATATATATATATATATATATATATATATATTCATATGATTTACTACTCTAACATATATCCATACATATCATAACATATAACACATATACTTATACCAACCACATGCTTATATTCATTAATTCATGCATTCTAATATAGAAAATAGACTTAACAAGTCTTATTTTCATGAATCACCATCTACAATACACTATGCACTCACCTTAGCCTTGCTTTGGTTCGATCCTAATTCTTCGATTGTTCCGGAACATGATTACGCTCTAAACCTACATAGTAATACATTGATACGTATCAGTATACTAATTTATATCTTCTAAACTATCTCTTCTTGGGCTAAAAGAAAGACTATTTTCATCTTTTAATGAAGGTATGCATCGATGCACTCTACAGTGTATCGATGCATTCCTTAACGTGTACATCGATGCACTATATGTGCATCGGTACACCATTTACATTCGATGTTTTCTTCTTAAGGGGGTGCATCGATGCACTCCTTATGCATCGATGCACTAATTGCATTTGATGTTTATTTATTTTAGAGTGCATCGGTACCCATTGAAGATGTACCGATGCACATTACCCAGAAATGTCATTTTGAACACGAAAATCCCTTCATTTTCCTCTCAACACTTCATATTTCACCTTCTTTAATATTCCTAACTTTCATACGCATATTTACACTTATTTCTACTCAATAATCACTTTTTTAACCTCCCAATAATAGCCTTTATATGGCATTCAAGAATCATACGCAAATATCAACATGTTCCAAATCTCATTCTAACACTTCATATTCCTTATTTAGATTGATGACAAGTCAAATTCAACTTCCAATTTTAATTATCAACTCTATATCAATATTTAATTCAAGAACTCATAATCTTTAATCTCTCATAATTCCATCATCTTTTGAATTTAAGATAACTTAAGCTTTCCTTAAGCTTAGTTATCATCTAATGGTCGAAACCCAAATTAAATTTAAGCTAATAATCAACTATTAAGAAATCTTACCTTTGCAAGTTGGAGTCCATGACTGGAGAAGGAAGAAGAAAACTCTAGAGAAATCTCTCATTTCCCCACGTGGTTCCCTTATCTTATAAGAGGGAAAAAATATATTTCATTCTAAATGACCAATTTTGCCCTTTGATTCCTTTAATAATTACCAAAACCTTCAGGAAATATTTCTGAATAGCTCATTGAACTATTCAAATATCCTGCTTTAATCACCACATTATGAAGTTTTACAATTTAGTCACTAACTCATAGTTTGGGATATTACAATCATCATCATCGGAGTCTATGTTGAACTGCGGTGATTCTGGGTGAATGAATAGTCCAGTCTCAGCACCATCCACACTTGGCTCACGAAGCGGTTCTTCTGGTGGAGATGAGGGTTTCTCTATACTGTTCACATTTAGGTCGAACAACCTGGTACTTGCATGCCTTCCCCTTGAACTATAAGGCATCTCGACATTGGGATCGAAGAAGCTCGTAGTAGAATGCCTCCCCCTAGAGCATGAAGTCATCGTGTCAAATGGAAACTGCTCAGATTGTTGCGTCGAGGGCATCTCCATATTTAGGTCAAAGAAATTGGCAGATGAATGCCTTCCTCTTGAACTGGACGCGATGTAGCCATACGGATTGTTTGTGTACCCACCTCGGTACAGATCGTAAGGAGTTGCTAATGAATGTCTCCCAATTGAACTTGATGGGGTGTCACCATGATGCGGATTTTCCATTATCGCGTTAAAATTATTACACATTACTGTAGTTGGACTATCAACTTGATCAACTTGTTGAGCTAGCCCATAGTGGGAGCTTAATGACGTACCCCGAACAAAACACACTTCAACAAACTTTGCATACATCTTCGTATCGGCGTCTGAATAATGATTTTGATAATCAACTATCATTTCAACATCATCATCGTTCGATAGTTCAAACGTTGTATAAGTTAACGAAAACACTGATGTTGGAAATATGTACTGAAACGACGACAGTCTTCTAGTACTTCCAATATGAACCTTCTTTAAAATATTCGTTATCAGCTCCTCAAGAGTTATGTTTCTTTTGAAGAATATTTTAACAGAATGATTTGATATGAACACAACGTCGGTTTCATCTTCCCGAATTTTTCCATCATAGTAAACAATAGCTGAAATTCGCGTCATTCTGAGAGTTTGAAAGGTAGACAATCTTATATATGCAAAAAAAAAGGTTGAAATAAGCCTAATTAAATAAATAATATATAAATTAAAATATAACACAATAAAATATTTAAAAATAAACGTAAATAGTTTAAATAATATAATTTTATATTATTACCGTATCGGCAAAAATATTTCGACGTATGATCTTGCTTTCTAATTTTATAACTACAAAAATTAATATAAAATAATTAGTACAATATTTTTTTTTTTCAAATAATCATATATAAAAATATTATATATTAAAGAAATTACCTTACAACGAAAGATTAAACGAATTTGTGAAACAAAGATAAGCGAAATTGATGGGTGATGTTTACGGGTTGAGAGCATCATATTTATAGCGGAGGGAAAAATTTAAAAGTCGAGAAATTTGGATACAAATATGAAAGGCGCGGATCATCATCCACGCCTTTTTAACGCGTGTGTTAGAATGATCTGCGCCTTTCTACAAAATATATTAAATCAATAATATTTTCTCTAATGATATTTAACACGTAAATAAAAAAATTGATTTATTGGTAAATACGCCTACTTCTTCTGTATTCATTTACAATGTGTAGTTTAACAGAGTTGCAATTAATTTAGCTGTTTTGAATGATAACTAATTTTGTCTCTTGTGTGCAGGCTGGTTACTGCCGCTCGCACTCCAAGACAAAGGAATTCGTGTTTTTAATATGGAATATGCGTATGAGTAAGAAGATGAAATTTATGCATGTTTGATAGTGTATTAAAACAAATTCATCAATAATCTTTTTTTTATTAATACATGAAGCAAGTCACTTCGATGATAAATTAATTATTATTATTTCTTGAAATTGAGTTCGAACATCATAAATGTTAGGGTAGAAGTGTTTAATATTAAATAATTGAGAATTTATCTTTAAAAAAATATTACCGTGTAACTACTCTAGATTAATAAAAAATTATTACGAAAAAAATAATATTTTTAATACTCTAATTTTTAAAATATATTTATCAAATAATTTTGGCTTAAATATAAAATAAGTATTCAAACTATACCGTTTTTAACAAATAGGTGCCTAAAATATTTTTTTGACTCATCTTGATTGCTAACGTTATAAACGTTACTATTTTAGGTGTTCGGGCCGTCAACATTGTTAATTTCTTTCGTTAAGTGACGTATGTCACAGTCTAGTGATTTTAGATTTAAAAAAAATATATATATATATATAATATTATTATATTTATAAAAAAAAACACTAATTTCTCTTAAATTATATAAAAAAAACTCAAAATCCCTTAAATTCCCAAAACCTAACCTTAACCCCTAGTCGTCGACCTATTCGACCACAACCGTCGATGCCACCGTAGTCTCTGTCATCCTCCTAATCATATACCGCAATAGTTGTTGTCGGTTAGCCTTCATAATCGTGTGGGATCGTGATTTTCATCTTAGAGTTTATAGTTATAAAATGTCGATTCGTCATTGACCAACAGTTGATTGGTCATGATTTCATAGGGATTTTGGTCGCCATGGGAGGTAAGGTCGGTTGGAAGTTTGTCGATGGAAAAGGGTAACGTACGGCGTGAGTTTAGGGGTTGAAATGAAGAGTTTTCTAAGTTTTTGGGTTATTTCAAAATTTTATTTTTAAAATATATAATTTTAAATAAAAATTATCAAATTATCAAATTGAGACAAGTGTCCTTAATGGAAAAATTAATACCCTTGACGGTTTATGCATTTAAAGTGATAATGTTTGCAACTTTAGACAATAAGATGAGTTAAAAAAAAATAATTTAAGCACCTATTCATAGAAAACGCTATATTTTGATCACTTATTTTATATTTAAGCCAATGTTTAATTATATCTAATACTTAATTTTAAATATTAAATAAATTTTATACTTTAGTTTCATCACTTATTTTTTACCTCATCATTATATACGCGTACGCCTCAAGAAGTAAGTGGTTTGTTTTCCCCGATCTAGAAATAATTCTTTTCATTTCCATTCTATAAGAATATGTATGATATTCTCACACTCATTGTAGAATAACAAAGAAAATTTATTATACTTTGATTTTTAAATTAATTTGATATATAATAAATATGTAAGTTCAGTGCAAATGATGGTTGTTAAAAAAATAAATACAAATGATAATATAAGAATTTAAATAAAAATATTATATATATATATATATATATATTCATAAAATATAAGAGCATTATAGAATTTTTTGTGATAAATCAGATCAAGATCATAACACGTGTATCTAATTGATTATACTTGATAATATATAAAATTTCACATTTCACATTAGTATTTTAGTCTTTAACTATATCCACGAAGTTACAAAGATACGACAAGTCAATTAATAGATTATATCCAAAGATAGTCATTTCATCTTAAAATAAAATATTGAGAGTTAAAGTGCTAAAAAAATATGTTCAAAGTAATATTTTTAACATTATTCCTAAAATAATTAACCACTTCATACTTTTTTCCTCGGACCCGTAGTGTTATTGTGGGAATGGTCATGCAACAAGATATTAAGAACCTTAAATCTTGTTTAAGGGACCTAGTGTCTCATCCTACTAGACCAACTGATTGTCATTTAACAACATAATATATTAACAGCAAATATCAATGACAAAATGGAAACTTTAAAACAACGACAATGATATCAAACAGCATGTCATTTAAATCCCATAAAATATTGCTATACAAAACTGCCAAACCAATTGAGACAATGAAGTGTTTCTAACATGATACAAAATAGAAAAACACAACAAAATATTAGGGAGTCACGATTTCACATTTCTTTGATCCTCTCGGTAAACTCAACAGTTTTTCGATGACAGTCGAAAATTCTTCCTCACACACGTCCACGTCTCTAATTATGAACTTCTCCAGCACTGATGCATGTTTCAAGATATAACTAACCATTTTAAACATATGCTTCACATTCTCAAATAATTCGATTTCGATCTCTTTGGTATGAAATAACAAACACGAAGGCACCGTTGTAGGCAGTGGCCTGAAACCTTCTGATGCACTTGCCTAAGCATACAAAAAAGGAAAGAAAAAAGTTAGAAAGTTTGTAACAGAATCTTTTTAACCGTTGAGAACGAATGCACATAATGCTGCTCGAACTTGGGACATTTAGGGAAAACAATACTCCGCTTTACTACTGAGGACGCTTAATGGGTTCAATTTGTGCACTAAATCTTAAATGGTATTTAGAGAAGCCTTCATACCAGATCCAGGATAAGTGTCTTTAGATTAGGCATGCAATGCAGAAACTCCACAATCCACGTTCCTTGCCAATCATCATTCAGGTAATTACGAAATTCCAGCTCAACAAGGTTGTTAAATACAAGCATTGGATCAAGTGGTGCCAGGAAAAGCTGTACATAAAAGAACTAAGAACTATTATATAATGCTAGAAGAAAAGATGACATGAATATTACTACGTACACTAACCGTTTTAGAGTCATCTTCGATGGCTAAATAAAGGGACTGTACATTGCAAACTGACCGAAGAAGATTTGCTGCACGTTCAAGCTCCTCGCTATCCATTAGAGTGATTTCAATATGAGCTCTTTCTAGAGATTTCATTTCACTTAAAGTATACCCTTCAGCCATTCCATCAACATATTTTAAATAAACTAGATTTGGAGCATTGATCTCGATGAGAGTGAAATCTGTGTGAGAATCTACATACAGCTCACCAAAATCCAAAACCAATCTCTTAAGTGAAAGGTTATGGATATTGAGATCACTTGTATTATGAAATTCACAATGAATAGATTCTAAATTTTCTAGGACAGGGCAACTGGAAATTAACCTAAGAACTGAACAACCATCTTGAAATTCAGAGTATGCAAAATGCAGAGTTTTCAGGTTTGGTAAACGAACATTAGACGGAACCTTCAAGTCACAATTGATGTTCAATTTCAATGTCACAAATGTGTGACAAGAAAACAGAAGACTCGGTAAACTGTAAACACCTCTAAACATCAAATTTATATCGATTTCCTTAACACCACAACGCAACGCAGCACATATCCAACGATTAGGGCGTTAATAATTCGCAACCTGTGGAATGCCATCCTTCCTTACCCATTGATCATCCACCTTCAAGCATTCTAAACAATGCTTGAAAAAGGATGAACTGAATCTGTGTGTTGCCTTCTGAGCTAACGAGGGCACGTGCCCACCCTAAGCTGTATATACATCCGTAAGTGGTTATCACCAAGACCCAAGTACATGTCACACTTTATTATTAAAGGACAAGGAAGATTTACATAGATCTTCCTTATAATTTAACTTGTGACCTCAAAATACAGTACAAAATTGATCTATATCTAAAATGAAGTCATACAACAAACAAAGTGAGCTTCGAAAAGCTCAATGAAGCAATCGGTACACATAGCAATCGAAAAGCTTAAATATATAGACGTGATAGTTACAAAATTAGTATAAACACATATTTGATTTGTATTACTTATAAATTCTATCAATTTATAGGTTGTTTGTTTACTTTAGAATGATTAAGCGCTGAATGATTCAGAGGCTCTGTATGAATTAACTCTGAATGTGACATGCTATTTGATAATGACTCTGAATCATTCATAATGTACTTTTGTGTTGAATCATTCAACACTGTTTTGATGAATCAGTCAGCACTTAATCATTCAGATGTGCGAAACAAACGCGCTGAATATTGAACGGTTCAACATTCAGCGCTGAATGATTCCATTAAGAGACAAACAAACAGCCCCTTAGTCTTAATCTTAATTTAATTTAATTAAGACCAAAATTAATATATTATATAAGTAATGATGATTAAATATGTAGTTATACCAAATTTATTAACTATTACATTTTTTATCCCATCAAATATTAACAGTTTAATAGAAAATGGTCCGAGATCACCTAGGAAGTTGCTAAGTTGGCGCGCTCGAAATGAAAGACCCATACAATCGTTCATTAAAGAAGACCCAAACAAACCCGAATTCCACACAATCTCCCCACCACGTAAAGTCAGTGAAGCAGCCGTCAGCTTGGAAATGAAACCCCAACTATCCAAAATAATAATAATAATAATAATAATCCTACGTGGAATTTTAATTTTGAATATAAAATAGATAATATGAAAACTCACCCACCTATCCAAAATCCGACCCGTCCATCCAATGGTTAGCAGAAAAACCCACCCGAATCAGCTTACCCCCAATCCTTGCCGTCGAAGCTTCACCCGCTGTGGAAGCCACAGCTGCGTCGGCCTAAATCTATTTGATCGGATTCTTATTCTCAGAAGAAGTTTAAAGTTTCCGACGGGTTAGTTCATATTCTCGGTCACTCTCTGTTAGATCAACTAAGTTTTACTTCCATTTTCCTCGTCTTTTTTTAGCTTCTTTTTGGTGTCAAGATATCGGGAAAGAAACTAGGAAAACAGAGATTTGCTTATTTTCTTTTATTTCCCTTATTACTACCTGTTATTATTAAATTTCAATTTTCTCCTAATTGGCCCAAGGGACCCGAGGAAACCAAGATTATTCACTAATATACTTGCATGTTACTAGACGAGATTCCGGAGAGTTTAACAAGTCGCTTTTTCTAAAACATCCCGGGAAATGGTCGCCAAAACGACGCTCCGCTTTGCTCCAGCTGCTAATGGAGCTGCTCTATCATTTATATCTTCTTCTTCAAACTCTACTCTATCAGGTAAGCTTTCATCTCTTTTCAATCCACGCCAAAAACCCACTTCTAAGAATCCCAAATTTTCAGACCACAGCAAAGATACTATTGCAAGCCTCGAACCACTTTATGAAATTCTTAAGTCAGGTGCCATTACTCTCGATGAAGCCTTGAATATTTTTAATCAAATGACCCGAATGCAACCCCCTCCTCCAATGTCATCATTTAATCTGTTGTTAGGCGCAATTGCTAAGATTAGACAATATAGTCATGTTGTTTTGCTTTACAAGAGATTGGATTCAATTGCGTTTTCGCCTCATTTCACTCCTTGGATATTATGCTTAATCGTTTATGTCAAATGGGTCAAGCTGGTGACGGTTTTGCTGTTTTAGGTAGGCTTTTTAGGTTGGGGTTATAGACCAGATACTGTAACTTTTACAGCTCTGATTAAAGGGCTGATTGTTGTGGATAAGGTTGTCATCCTAGTGTTCTTAGTTGTGGTATTTTGATTAATAGTCTGTGTCGAACGGGGAATATGAGTGCTGCTGTTCGGATATATGGGGAAACGGTTAATGGAAATAGGGCGTGTAAGCCCAATGTTATTATTTATGGTATTATTATCGGTAGCCTGTGTAAAGAGGGCATGGTGGAAAAGGCGAGGGAACTTTTCTTGGAAATGAAGAGTCAGGGAATTTCTTCGGATGTGGTTGTTTGTAGCTCTTTACTTCACGGTTTTTGTTGCATAGGCAATTTGAAGGAGGCTAAACGTCTATTTCTTGAGATGTTGGATCAAGGTGTGAATCCAAATGTGGCCACTTTCAATGTGTTAATTGATACACTCTGCAAGATGGAGAAGTTGGAAGAAGCAAACCAATCGTTAGATTTGATGATTCAGAGAGGAATCAATCCTGATATATTCACATATAACACATTGTTGGATGGGTATTGCTTGGCTGGTAAGCTTGATATGGCAGGGAATCTGTTTGTTTCCTTGCAAAGTAAGGAGAATGGACTAGATGTGGTTAGCTATAATATAATGATTAATGCTTATTGAAAAAACCGGAAGGTTAATGAAGCTATGAGGCTTTATCAGGAAATGAAAGGCAAAGGGATCATAGCAACAACTATCACATGTAACACAATATTGACTGGTCTTTTCCAAGCCGGAAAGGTTGACGAAGCTAGAGAACTGTTTGGTAAAATGCAGTTCGATGTTATTGTGGTTGATTCTTGCACCTATAACGTCTTTGTGGATGGACTTTGCAAAAATGGTTGTCTCAAAGGCATTGGAACTGTTTTGTAAGTTAGAAAATTGCAAGTTTGTATTTAGCATTAAACTGTTCAATTCGCTTATTAATGGGCTGTGCAAAACAGGGAAGCTTGAAACCAACAGTTGTAATTTATTCTATAATGATCCATTTTCTGTGCAAGGAAGGACAACTAGAAAAGGCGAACGATTTGCTAATAGAAATGGAGGAAAATGGTTGTGCTCCGAATGTTGTAACATTTAATACACTCTTGCATGGTTTCTCTCAGAAGAATGACACTGAGAAAATAGTGCAACGTCTTCATAAAATGTTGGAGAAAAACTTGTCACCTGATGCATCTACTGCCGCTGCAGTTGTAGATTTACTTTCAAAAGATGAAGCCTATCTTGAAACTTTGAAATTGCTTCCAACATTCCCAGTCCAGGACCCACCTAAATGATGTCCAAGTGAAACTTGTTTGTGTGCTTGACTACCTGGTGAAATTCTTGAGTTGACGGGTCTCTGCCTAAGCCCGAATGGAGGTTTCAAAATGTGTTGGCTTGCTCCTAATTCCGAGTCCGTCGAAAGCCATCCATAATGGAGGTAATCTGGTTAGTTAGACTCATTGATGGGGGAAAACAGGGAATGCAAATGCGTTTCTGGCTATCGTGCTTGAATGAGGCTCCAATTGTGGCTTCATTGGAGCCCAAGCCAGAAAGTTATCTTCTGTTTAGTTTATGCTTTCAAATCTAGGGAAAGGGTACTTGCTAATGCAGTATGTGTATATGTCAATTATTTTTATGGATTATGTGTTGCTAAGGCCATTCATGGTTTTGATTGTACAATTAAAACCCTGCGAGCAGCTAAAAGGATCACCATACCTATTGGCTTTAGTTGTGTTGTCTCATATTCTACTTTTATGGTTTCATTAGAATAAGCCTGCAATTTGGGAATCAGCAACTGGCGCTCATTCATACTGTTCCCTTATAATGCATGAAAAGGCAAAAACAAGAAAACTAGTGCTTATTTGTTAGTAATGTTCGTGATAAAAATCTTGTGATGTTAATCAAACCTAGTAGTTTATGTTTCAAATGTTATATTTAAGCATTTGAATAATTTCATATCTAAATAACGTGGTATTTAAGAAATTTTTGATCAAATATACTGATTGTGTTTTCAAAGACAGGTCTTGAATTTGATTAGATCCAAGTTCTAAACTTTGTCACTTGTTTGTTCATAAGCTTTTAAACTCTCACATTGTTTATAAATGAGTTTTTGTAAGTGTTTAAATATAACCTTTTAAACATATACTCATTCACATATTGGAGATGAGACTAGTATGGGCATGTCATCTTTGTTTGAATAATGTTGGTGCAAATATGTGTCTTCGACATCCAACATGTGCATTTTTTTTTTTGGACAATGTTTCTATATTTTTTTTCATACTTTTGGCTCATTTCTTTCTTTCTTTCATTTTGACCCAACATGTGACCAGACTCTTACAACCGTAACATCACTTACGCAGAAGACGCGGTTTGCAGGACGTGTTTTCGAATGTGGGACTTGACTTTACATGACCCAAAAAGATACTAATTTGAAGGCTTTATTATTTTTAAGTACCTGAACTATACCCTTTTTTCTAAATTGATGTCCAAACTTTTGTTTGAATCATCCAAGTGTCTAATGTTATAAATGTTACCACTTTAGGTGCTTGAGCCGTAACTACTGTTAAAGGACATGTGTCACGTTCTAGTAATTTTAAATTTTTTATTTAAAATTAAAAATTAAAAAATTATTTTAAAAAATACAAAATTTTTGAAATACTTTAAAAAGCCCCAAAACTTTCAAATTCATCATTTCAACCCCTAAACACACGTCGGTCATCGCTCTTTGCCATTTACAAAACTCTTCTTGACCTCACCTCCACCCGATGATTGATAACCCTAAAAAATTGTGACCACGACGTATGATTAGGAAGACGACAAGGACTATGTCGGCGGTGGTGGCCGTGGACGGCAAGGATGACGTATGTGGGTTAGGGTTAGAGATTTAAGATTTTTAGGGATTTGAGTTTTTTTTTATAATTTAAGATAAATTAGGTTTTTTATATAAATATAATAATATATTTAGTTTTTTTTAAAAAAATGTTCGAAATTACCAGAACATGACACATGTCACTTAACGGAAAAATTTAATGGCAGTTACAACCTTAACACCTAAAATAGTAACATTAGACATATGGATAGTTAACAAAGGTTTAAGCACATATTTCGAAAAAAAAAAATATAGTTTATTCACTTATTTCATAATTAAGCTTAATATAAATGATAAGCTGACCTACGAAAACATAAGAAACCACAAACAG